AAAAAGGGCCGCGGAGCTGTGTGGCCGCTGCCGGCCGCCGCTTCCCCGGCGGGTCGCGGGATTTGTTGCACTTCGGGGGCTGGGGGAAGGCTTTTGTTTGTTTGTTTTGCCCTGAGGCTTTCGGCCGCTTTGCGGGATTTTTTTGGACAAAATGTCGGTCCGTGCGGTCGCGGTCGAGCGGGGAGCCGCGCGGAAGGTGCAGTTCGGATCCTGCGCTGCCCTGGCTGGCAGCTTGGTGCTGGCCGGGTGAATCTTCGCCGCCGCCTGGGGACGGCTGGAGGGAGGCTCGCTGGTTGATTTTGAAATTTCTGACTGTTGTGGTTGAAGGCTTCGCGAGCGCAGAGGAGGACTCGCCACCTTAAATACGCATATGGGCGATTAACAGGAAGTTTTCCCAGTGATAACTTCATCAAGATGTCCAGTGATAGGCAAAGGTCGGATGATGAGAGCCCCAGCACCAGCAGTGGCAGTTCAGATGCAGACCAGCGAGACCCTGCCGCTCCAGAGCCAGAGGAACAGGAAGAAAGAAAACCTTCTGCCACGCAGCAGAAGAAAAACACCAAACTCTCTAGCAAAACCTCTGCTAAGTTATCCACTAGTTCTAAAAGAATTCAGAAGGAGCTAGCAGAAATAACCCTTGATCCTCCTCCTAACTGCAGTGCTGGGGCTAAAGGAGATAACATTTATGAATGGAGGTCGACTATACTTGGTCCACCAGGTTCTGTATATGAAGGTGGTGGTTTTTTTCTGGATATCACGTTTTCATCAGATTATCCATTTAAGCCACCAAAGGTTACTTTCCATACCAGAATCTATCACTGCAACATCAACAGTCAGGGTGTCATCTGCCTGGATATTCTAAAGGACAACTGGAGTCCTGCTTTGACTATTTCCAAGGTTTTGCTCTCTATTTGTTCCCTTTTGACAGACTGCAATCCTGCGGATCCTCTGGTTCGAAGCATAGCCACTCAGTATTTGACCAACAGAGCAGAACATGACAGGATAGCCAGACAGTGGACCAAGAGATACGCAACATAATTCATATAATTTGTATCAGTGTGAAGGAGCAGAAGGCCTCTTCTCACTGTGCTGCAGATCTTTATAGCCTTTACAATACGGACTTCTGTGTATATGTTATACTGATTCTACTCTCTGCTTTTATCCTTTGGAGACTGGGAGACTCCCCCAAAAGGTAAATGCTATCAAGAGTAGAACTTTGTAGCTGTAGATTAGTTATGTTTAAAACGCCTACTTGCAAGTCTTGCTTCTTTGGGATATCAAAATGTATTTTGTGATGTACTAAGGATACTGGTCCTGAAGTCTACCAAATATTATAGTGCATTTTAGCCTAATTCATTATCTGTATGAAGTTATAAAAGTAGCTGTAGATGACTAGGAATTACGTCATTTGTATTAAGCCAGATCTTCTCCTCAGTACTCTACATTCCTGGAACATATCATCCCTCGGTTTCTTACATTTCTCCAAGACGGAGAAGTCCAGTTTCTTCAGGAGAAGCCTGCCCAGGTAATGTTACATCCTAGCCCGGGGGGGAAACATGTGAATCAAAACTGTACAAAAACCCTAAAGAATGAAAGTAAGGGCTGGAGAGATGGTTCAGCAGTTAAGAACACTGGCTGCTCCTGCAGAGGACCTGAGTTCCATTCCCAGCACAAAGATGGCAGCTAACAACCATCCATAACTCCAGTTCCAGAGGAATCCATCCAACGCCTTTTTCTTCTGGCCTCCACAGGCATTGAATGACATGGGTGCACTTACCTACATGCAGGCAATACACTCTTACATATAAAATTAAAATAATAAATAAAGTGTTTTATAAAACCTCAATGGAATGCATCACTAATAGACTAGACCTGGTGAAACAGATGTCAGAGATTGAAGACAATGTTGAATGTTACCTTTCTACAGAAACTAAAATACACACACACACACACACACACACACACACACACACAACGTAGAATGCTGTGTCTCAATACCTGAAAACCAACTTCCAACTGAGATAACCACAGTTAACAAAATAATCCTTTAAAGCAAAGAAGAAATACAAATCTTCCACTAGAAATATAAACTAAAGCAATTCATGATCAGATCTCTGTGAGCTCAAGGCCAGCCTGGTCTACACTGAGTTCCAGGTAAGCTGGGGCTACAGGGAGACCCTGTTTCAAAAAGAAAAAAAAAATACTACACACAGAAGAAGAAAGAGACAAAAGCATGAGAGCTTGGGGAAAAAAATCTTGCTGGAAGAATAGATAAGCAAATTAGAATTAGGAAAAAAAATAAACATTGCTAATTCAGTAAACCAGCAAACCCCTTAGATGAAGGGAGAAATTAGCACATAAATCTCCAATTAATATGTGCAGACTGTGACTTGAAATGTGGTTTTGTGGTGACTCCTTATTTGGAGTGTACAAGGCCCTGGGTCAGAGAGTGAGAGGAAGAGGAGATTGAGTGGAGAGAGAGAGAGAGAGAGAGAGAGAGAGAGAGAGAGAGAGAGAGAGAGAGAGAGAGAGAACTGATGCTGGCAGAATGGATTAAACATCAAGATCCAGATGCTTAGTGTATGCAAGAAACTCACCTCACTGGCAAAGACAGACACAGACTCATAGATGTCAAAAAACTAAACTACTGGACAAAATGAGACAAAACAGGTTCAGACACAGAAATGTTGAGCAGCTTAAATACTTCACCAGTATCAAAACAGACATGATCCAGACCAAAATATCAAAACTAAACGTCAGAGTCAAACTACACTATAGATCAAATGGACCTAACAGATACAGAATAGTCCATCCAATGACTGAGGAGTACACATTCTTCTCAGCCACTCACGTAAGTTTCTCCAAAACAGAAAAGAAAAAAAATTCTTGTATATTGTTAGAACCTAATGGAATAAAACCAGAAATTAATAGCAATAGACACTGCAGAAACTATATAAATACATGGAGGTTGAATACTACTCTTTGGAATGATTCAAATGTACAAGGAACTAAAAATAAACACCAAGAGAACAAATGAACAGGACAGTTCTTAAAAGAAGTGTAAGTGGTTCTAAGCACAAGAAAAAACTTCCACATCTGTAGCCAAAACTGCATGGAGATTCCATCTCACCTGACAATGGCTTTCTCCCATTCTGGAAACTGTCTCTTCACTCTGTTAATGGTGTCCTTTGGTTTTAATTTATTAAATCCTGCTTCTCAATCCTTGCTATCATTTACTGAGTTACTAAAGTCCTATTTGGTCAGTGGTTGCTAATTTCCATATCTTAAAGGATTTCCACTACTTTTTTTTTTTTTTTTGTTTTTTTTAAACAGGGGCTCCCTGTAGCCCCAGATTGCAGCATTAAACATGAAAGTGCAGACATCTTTCATGCAATGACTTTATTTCCTTCTGGAATATACCCAGGAATGGGATTACTGGGTCATATTGTACTTCTACTTTTAATTTTTTTTTTTGTCTTTTTGAAACAGGGGCTCCCTGTAGCCCCAGATGTCCTGGAACTTACTATGTAGACCAGGCTGGCCTTGAACTCACAGAGATCCACCTGCCTCTGCCTCCCAAGTGCTGGGACTACAGTCCACTACATTTTTATCTAGTATTTTCAAAAGTTTTAGTTCTTACGTTAAGATTTTTTATCTATTTTGAATTGATTTTTGTATGGGGTGATTTTTGTATGGGGTGTTTAACCACGTGTTAAAGAGACTCTCTTTTCTCTGATGTGTTTGAAACCTTTGTTCAGAATTGAACGGCTGTAGCTGTGTGGCTTATTTCTGGTTCCTCTTCTTAGAGTCTTAAGGTATAAACTTAGATAAATTATTTAGAACATTCTTATAAATAAACACTCAAAATGATGAATTTCAGGGCTAGAGAGATGGCTCCTTGGTCAAGAGTTCAGGCTGCTCTTGTAGAGGACCTCAATTCAGTTCCCAGCACCCTCATGGCAACTAACAACTGTCTGTAACTCCAGTTCCAGGGGATCTGATACCCTTTTCTGGCTTCTGCAGGCTTTGCACATATATGCAGGCAAAACATTAAACACATAAAATTTTAAAAATATGTAAAGATAAATTTCCTGTGAAGCTGGGTTTGATCACATTTTACAAATTTTGCTATATTGTACTTTCATTGTTATTCAGATTAAAAATTCTAATTTCTGAAAAAAACCCAAATGCAAACAAGCAAAAAACAAATTCATTTTAAATTGATTTTTAAAAAATTAACAAAGAAGGGGCTGGAGAGATGGCTCAGTGGTTAAGAGCATTGACTGCTCTTGCAGAGGACCCAGGTTTGATTCCCAGCATCCACATGGTGGCTATGAACCATTCTTAACTACAGTTCCAGGGGAATCCAAAGCCCTCTTCTGACTTCTGCGACATTGCACAACATGGGTGCACTCACATACATGCAGGCAATACACTCATACACATAAAGTAAAATAAAATAAAATAATTAACAAAGAAAAGTCATAGTTTTATTGTATATAACATGTATACATTGTATATATATTGTGGGGTGGCTATAGTTAGCTAATAAACGTGTGTATTATCTCATAAACTTTTTTTGAGAGGGTGATAAGAACACTCTCCTAAAAGGTTTTATTTGTTGCTAATAGAAAAATATTTCTTGGGGCTGGAGGGATGGCTCAGCAGTTAAGAGCACTGGCTGCTCTTGTAGAGGACCTGGGTTTGATTCCCAGCACCCATATTGTGGCTAACAACTGTCTGTAACTCCATTTCTAAGGATCTGACACCCTCTTCTGACCTCCTTGGGTATTGCATGACGTGGGTGCACTTGCATACATGCAGGCAATACACTTAAAGACATAAAATAAAATAAAAAATAAAATATTTTTAAATTCTAATTTTCCAAAGATTTCTTTAATCAGCTGATTATTATTTTTACTTTAGCGGGGTGTGGTACTGCACATCTGTAATGTTAGCTACTCAGGAAGCTGAGGTATCAGGATCTCCAGCTCAGGGCCAGCATGATAACACTGTCTCAAAAAATAATTTAAAGAAGTTCTGATGATGTAGCTCAGTGTTAGAATGCTTGTCTAGACTGCACAAGGCCCTGGATTCAATTCTAAGTAATGCAAATAGAGCATCAAAATTTCTAATGCCTTTAGGGAGGTCTAAATTTCCATTTTAATTCTTTAACTTTAGCCTGAAGATTCTCATATTTCTCTCTCTCTCTCCCTCTCTCTCTCTCTCTCTCTCTCATCTATCTTTTTTGGTCAGCAAACTCCTTCAGTTACTGATAATCTGAAAATGTCTTCATTTTGTCTGTATTTTTGAAGGATGTTTTCTCTGGAACTCTAGGTTGACAGATTTTTTTCCCCCTTTTTCTTTCAATACTTTATGTCTTTCCATTGTTTGGTGGCTTGCACTGTTTCAGATAAGAAGTCAGCAGTTGTTCCCACCCACCCCCTGCTCTGCCCCCCCACATATAATGTCTCTTTTTTCCTCTGGCTTTTTTTCAGGGTTTTTTTTTTTTTTTTCTTTATCATTTATTCTCAATAAATTGATTATCACTTACCTGAGTGTATTTTTCTTTGTGTTAAATTGCCTTGAGTTTGTCAAACTTTTTTTTAATCTGTGAGCTTACAGTTTTTATCAATTCTGGCTTTTGGCCATTATTTCTTCCCACACTATCTCCCCTTCCTTCTGGGTTCTAATGCTATATATATGACTCAGCAGGTTAGGAACGCTAGTTGATCTCCAAGAGGACCCACGTTTGTTTTCTAGCACCCACATGGTGACTAATAATCATCTGGCAACTTCAGTTCCAGGGGATCCGACGCTTTCTTCTGGCCTCCATGGGCATTGCATACACATCTATCACTTTCCACTCTATTGCTTTGATATAGGGTTTCTCAATGAACTAGAAGCTGGCCATTTTGAGTAGGCTGGCTGGCTGGCCAGTGAATCCCTGGGTTTTGCCCGTCTGCTCCCCAATGTTGGGAGTACAAGCAAACACAGCCATGCCTGTGAATATGCAACATCTTCCTCTGGCTCCCACATGCATATACCCAGTTTCACATACACTCACATTCATGTACAACACATACACACACTCACACACTCACCACAAAAAAAAAAAAAAAGATTACGAGGCTATGTTTATTTTTCTGCAGACGAATATATTTTCAGATCAGTTTTTTT